TTGCCGATAGCCTATCTCGCACAATTTCCGACCTAGACTCGCGCCTCGCTGATAATGGTTGGTCTAAGGTAGAACGAGCCTTTGGACCTCATACTATTGACCTCATGGCCATCCCTGATAATGTCCAAAAGGATGTCTCTGGGCGGCCTTTACGATTCTTCTCCCCCTTTCTCTCATCTGGTTGCTCAGGGGTGGACGTGTTCGCGCAGAATCTCTCCCCCTCAGAGAACGCGTACGTGTTTCCACCCTTTCTCCTCATTGGCCCTCTTCTCAAGTTCCTCAAGTCCCAACCATGCTCATTTACAATAATAGTACCCAGATTACAGCCAAAAAAGTTCTGGTGGCCAATCCTCACCCAGTTATCGTGCGCGTCCTTCAGAATTGCGGCTAGGGGAGACCCTCACACTCTACTGTTTCCCTCCCGTACGGGCGTCTGGACAGGTCGACCTCTRCAATGGGAGCTTTGGGCTTTCCGAGTTGCAGCCAAACCTTTTGTACAATGAACATTTCAGTATTCCTAACCTGGYGGCAGAGCAATATTAGGACGGTAGCTGTACAAGCCACGGTAGTGAGTTTATAAACATGTCTAAATCATATATGTCTAATTTGGTGTAACCAGTTTTTCTAACATAATAAAGAGTTTGTAATTCGTTTCGCTCGTCATTTGCTAATATCCCTTGTAATCTACCCCCACCTATTGCATCATCTGTCCCCCAGACCGTTGTTTAGCAATCCCTTATCTCCTTTTTCTTTTTTCCCCACAGCCCCTCGTACAAGTCCCTAGATTATGGGTGCCTGCAGCCCAATGCCCCAACTGCGCATACCCTAACGACGCCTCCTTTTTGTTCTGCCAACGCTGTGGTTACAGAAGACAACAGCGAGRGACTGCTCCCGAAAAAGTAYCAATARATCTGGACGAAATCGATGCGCGATTGSATCTTCTGCAAAAACAACGCGCCGGCAAGCCGTACGAGCGTCAAAAGTCTAGTCTGCAGTTGGATCTAGAGCGCTTCCTAAACTCTATGCCGCACTCAAAATCGGTGCTCGAGGCCACTCCAAAAGACATTTTACGTTTTTTGGCCTGGAAAGATCAGTCGGGAAAAACCAAGGTKCACGTCCCTTCATGCAGGATGTTTGGCTCCAAGTCCAAGGACAGCTGCGCATGCCCCACGCGTTTAGCCGCTGGTACAGTTGATAACATAATTGKCAAATTGCGCTCCCTCTTCACGGACATAGGGAGAGGGGGAGATTGGAACGAGCTCCTCGGTGTCGGAAACCCTGCCTCGCACAAAAGCGTCAAACAGTACTTAAAACTTGTCCAAGAAGAACAAGCTATTGCAAGAGTGTTYCCTACACAAGCCATACCACTGTTCTATAATAAAATTTGCAAGCTCTGTGAATTCCTCCATGAGCAAACTTTCAAACCCTCGTGCCCCGCCAGTCAACGCTTTCTGTTCGCTAGAGATCTTGCTTTTTTCTCTCTGGATTTCTTCTCTGGAGACCGCGCATCAGACCTGGGAAGGGTATTCACCAAAGAAGTTATGATCTCGCCTGACCGATCCACTCTATTGTTCAACCATACCTTYGGAAAGACCCTCAGAGGGAAAGGCAGCTCCAACACATTTAGGGTTAAAAAATGCCAGAACCGAAMAGTATGCCCTGTGGAAAACTTCCATYTGTAYACCAAGCTATGCGACCTCATGGAGATAGACTTAAGACGTGGATACCTTTTCCGCTCTCTCGATAGGAAAGGTCGAGTCTCTGAATCACCTTTTACAGGATCAGCGGTCGCCAATCGTCTATCTCTTCACCTGAAGACTTTGGGGATACATGAAGGAGAGACTATGCACAGTTTCCGCAGTGGCTGTTCAATCACCTTATCCTTRATGGGGGTATCCGCAGAGGACGTGGCCAGACACGTGGGCTGGAAGTCTACCATCACTTCCGAATACTACTCACAATGTAAAAAAGTAATGGATTCGGAGCGTGCAGCCACCGCCTTGGCAGCGGCAACCGCCACGGGAGACGACTBTAACCCCTTGGCGTCCTCTCTGTCAGAAGCCTATCAGTCACATAACGAGCTCCGTAGCTGGTCCCTAGCCTTTAGTTAATTTAAAATAAAGCAAYTTACGTCATCACAGGGTCTGGGGATTTGTCTTTACTAAGTTTCGGGAGAAKTTCGGATTTAGGAAAGAGGAGAACCCTGAGGGCGCCTATGTATTTATAGCGTCTTTCAGCTCGGCCGGAGGCACAGTCGCGCTCCCCATATCTTAATCCCGCCGAGACAATGAGAGGCCAATCCAGCAATGAGAATGACTTACTATTCTCACTGCGGGATTGGTCTCGAAATAAGGCCTTGCGGGCGGGTTTATCGATTAATACTCATCTGGGAATAACCTTGCACAATGGAATGTCCCCAGGGACTGGTAATTAACTATATAAGATCTTGCAAACCAGAATTAGGCATCCTTTCGCCTCGACCGCCGAAAAGCAGATCCAAGGTTTTCGACCCACCCTCCTCCCCTTCGGCGACGGCAACAAGCTTTATATACCTTACCCTCACCATTGCCTCGGCAAGTCGCGCTCCCCATATCTTAATCCCGCCGAGACAATGAGAGGCCAATCCAGCAATGAGAATGACTTACTAGTTTTCCGCAAGTGTGTTTTTTATTTAAATAACAAAGACAGCTACAAAGATTTATTCTTTCACTTCTTTATTGCACTTAGATTCGCTCTAATTTACTGATGAAATTCTCTATTTATCTGAAAGTAAAATAGATATTTTTTGCAGCAGTAGCAGACATATAATATATGATATAGAGTGCAAACACTAAAAGCATGAAATAATAATAATCCAATACTAAAATAGTACAAAATCTAAACAGAACTACATCATGCAAATTCCTTTTTTTCCTATTGATCATTTTCACCCTTTCACATGAGATTCAAAGATAAAAGACCGGCGGCCATGTTGGAGGAATGAACAATAGATACTAATGAGAAATCCTTTGTTGAAGTTCCTCCAATATGGCCGCCGTGACGTAACTTGAAAACGAAAAATTGTTCAAATAGTTCTATTTTGTAGTACTCACAATAGAAAACAMAACGAAAAAGGGTGTATTAGTGATAAATGCGCTAAAGTTTGTTTCACGGGCTTAGAGTGATCGCACTTAATCCCTGCAACTGTACAAACTAAATAGTTCTATGTAGTTGTATTTAGTAAATCGTGCATGCGGTACGCAAATTAAATTGAATTGATACAATTAAATGAAGCATTCAATACCGTCTTGCTCCAGGTGCACTTTTAGTACAAATTAATACTACTTAGATTTTGTACAGTTGCACACCGTTTAAGTGCGATCACTCTACGAAAACCACTCTATACCCATGAGATACACGTAGCTTTAGTTACACGAAAATAACACAAAACAGCCATAAATCTATTGTTTTCTATTGTTTAATTAGTGATATTCAGTACTAATCAATACGAAATWAGACTAGTATTAGTTTGGCTATTCTTTCATGAACGACATTAAATCACTTATTCATTGTAATAGTTTGGGCATCGTGGGAATTCTTGTTGTTGCAATAAACAATGGACTCGTGCTTTTTAGCTGTCTTTTGTTATAAAAAGTACACTTATGCGTAAAAGTATTCAAGCATCTCTAGAGCAAACGCAGGAAAACCATGAAATAAAATCAAACCAAATACTAACTAATAGCGGCTATTTAGAGACAATTTGTCAGTATCAATGGACAGAACACAATGAAGATGAATCCACATGGCACCATTTTTCATTCATCTTTATTGCGTTCTGGTTCATTGATACTGACAATTTGTCTCTAAATAGCCGCTATTTGTTAGTAATTAGTTTGATTTTATTTCATGGTTTTCCTGCGTTTGCTCTATTACATTGTCWATAGCTCTCTTTAGTCATGAGGTATTTTTGAGATATTTTAATACCTCATCAAAAAATCAATTTACTGCAAATTGCTGTGTACTGTGAAGACAGTAGAAATAGTTGAAATGAGTAGTCTCTACTTTTGATTTAAAAAGTTCGTTGTGACTTTCTTTGTCTTCAACAAACAAAAGATACTAATGAAGACGTCATTTTGAAACGGTGTCTTGAATTCTGCTCGGTTCACACAGAAATATTTGAAAAGAACAGCGCCCACGTGGTTTATAAATAAGAAGTGGAATTCGCCAATCTTGTACAAGCGTAAGTTCTCTGCTCATATATAGTTGTTCATGTTTCGTTTCGATGTGTAAAATTTACACAAAAAATGTTCTTAGTATAGTTTGATGCTTTACGCACATTAATACTACACAGTCAAAGAGTGTTTAACACGTGTCGAGGAAAATACAGATCAAATTAGATGCAAATAAGGGGTAAGGAGAGGCATGCAATTTTGAGTGTCAAATCACCTCCTTTGTTCCCCGCCCCCATGCAATTGATTTTGCGATCTTTGATATCACAAAGATGCAGTGACATTGTAACAAATCTATTTATCTTTTTCTCTTTAATGCATTATTTTCATCCCCCTAAAACAATCAAGGCAAAATACTGTTTTTCTGATATTAAACTTAACCACTCTAAGAAAGGAAACCAAAGGAAGCCCAAAT